GATTGTTGTTTTTTTTTTTTTTTTTTTTTTTTTTTGGTACAGGGGATTGAACGCGAGACCTTCTGCTTGCAAAGCAGGCAGAATGAGCTAAGTGCCTGGCCCTGTGTAGCACAACTTGAAAGTGCTTCCTGCAATTGAAGGGAGCTACAGCCCACTGCTCTTCATGGAGGGAACTCTCTGTCATTGTTTCATTGCTGCTGTATAATCTCTTTGCAAATAATTAATAATTACTTTGTAGTGCTAGGATCAAACACAGTGTCTTGAACACGCTAGGCAAGCGGTCTGCCACTGAGCTACACTTTAGCCTGTCTGTCTGTCTCACCTATTTGTTTCATCCTAGGGATTGGCCCCTGGGAGTGCCAAGCTACCTTCCCAACCTTTTTGTTGTTTATTTTGAAACAAGATCTTGAGTTACCCCAGCTGGGCTCGAACTCCCCAAGTATCTGGGATAACAGGATGTACCAGTCATTGGTTTCCTTATTTTTTTTTTTAATTTTTTTGGTTTTTTCAGTCAGGGTCTCTATGAGTTGAGACTGACTTGGAACTCACTATGTAGCCCAGACTGGTTTTGAACTCACAATGGTCCTCCTGTCGCAGCCTCCTGAGTGCTGGGATTACAGGCGTGTGTGCCACCACGCCCAGTGGTATCCTTAATTAATTAAAAATTTTTTTGAGACAGGGTCTCATTACATAGTTAAGACTGACCTGGAACTCACTGTGTAGCCCAGGCTGGTCTCACAGTGATCCTCCTGCCTCAGCCTCCCCAGTGCTGGGATTATAGGCGTGCGCCACCACACCTGGCCTGTTTGAGATTTTTAAGTAGGATTGCAGGCATTGTTCTAAGTGTGAAACATTCTGGCCAAGTTTTCTTTTTTTTTTTTTGAGACAGGGTCTCATTACATAGTTAAGACTGACCTGGAACGCAGTATGTAACCCAGGCTGGTCTTGAACTCAGTGATCCTCCTGCCTCAGCCTCCTCAGTGCTGGGATTACAGGCGTGTGCCACCACACCTGGCCTGTTTGAGATTTTTAAGTAGGATTGCAGGCATTGTTCTAAGTGTGAAACATTCTGGCCAAGTTTTCTTTTTTTTTTTTTGAGACAGGGTCTCATTACATAGTTAAGACTGACCTGGAACGCAGTATGTAACCCAGGCTGGTCTTGAACTCAGTGATCCTCCTGCCTCAGCCTCCTCAGTGCTGGGATTACAGGCGTGTGCCACCACACCTGGCCTGTTTGAGATTTTTAAGTAGGATTGCAGGCATTGTTCTAAGTGTGAAACATTCTGGCCAAGTTTTCTTTTTTTTTTTTTGAGACAGGGTCTCATTACATAGTTAAGACTGACCTGGAACGCAGTATGTAACCCAGGCTGGTCTTGAACTCAGTGATCCTCCTGCCTCAGCCTCCTCAGTGCTGGGATTACAGGCGTGTGCCACCACACCTGGCCTGTTTGAGATTTTTAAGTAGGATTGCAGGCATTGTTCTAAGTGTGAAACATTCTGGCCAAGTTTTCTTTTTTTTTTTTTGAGACAGGGTCTCATTACATAGTTAAGACTGACCTGGAACGCAGTATGTAACCCAGGCTGGTCTTGAACTCAGTGATCCTCCTGCCTCAGCCTCCTCAGTGCTGGGATTACAGGCGTGTGCCACCACACCTGGCCTGTTTGAGATTTTTAAGTAGGATTGCAGGCATTGTTCTAAGTGTGAAACATTCTGGCCAAGTTTTCTTTTTTTTTTTTTGAGACAGGGTCTCATTACATAGTTAAGACTGACCTGGAACGCAGTATGTAACCCAGGCTGGTCTTGAACTCAGTGATCCTCCTGCCTCAGCCTCCTCAGTGCTGGGATTACAGGCGTGTGCCACCACACCTGGCCTGTTTGAGATTTTTAAGTAGGATTGCAGGCATTGTTCTAAGTGTGAAACATTCTGGCCAAGTTTTCTTTTTTTTTTTTTGAGACAGGGTCTCATTACATAGTTAAGACTGACCTGGAACGCAGTATGTAACCCAGGCTGGTCTTGAACTCAGTGATCCTCCTGCCTCAGCCTCCTCAGTGCTGGGATTACAGGCGTGTGCCACCACACCTGGCCTGTTTGAGATTTTTAAGTAGGATTGCAGGCATTGTTCTAAGTGTGAAACATTCTGGCCAAGTTTTCTTTTTTTTTTTTTGAGACAGGGTCTCATTACATAGTTAAGACTGACCTGGAACGCAGTATGTAGCCCAGGCTGGTCTTGAACTCACAGTGATCCTCCTGCCTCAGCCTCCTGAGTGCTGGGATTACAGGCGTGTGCCACCACACCTGGCCTGTTTGAGATTTTTAAGTAGGATTGTCTGTCTCTAGATTGCTGATTGACATAATCTTGATGCTCATTTAATAACAGAATGTGTACTTTGAAACGTGGCAGATTTCGGTCAGTAGAACTTTGGAAACTAGTGCTTCCTAGAGAATTTTTTTTTTTTTTTTTTGTGAGACAGGGTCTCACTATGTAGTTGAGACTGACCTGGAACGCAGTACGTAACCCAGGCTGGTCTTGAACTCACAGCAATCCTCCTGCCTCAGCCTCCTGAGTGCTGGGATTATAGGAGTGCACCACCACGCCTGGCCTCCAGAAAATGTGTTAAGCATAATTTTTTTTCTCAGTCATCTCATTTAAGTGATTGGTTTTTATAGGCAGCCTTCAGCTGTAAAAGTAAGTGGGGTTTTGTCCACTAATAATTAGCAGAAAGTGGGGAGACAGAAGCAAGAATCTCAGTCTGTGTATACATTCTAAATTTTTTTTTTGGTACCAGGAATCGAATTCAGGGCCTTGTGCTTGCCTGGGTAGGCGCTGTGCGGCTGAACTACATCCCTGGTCCCCTGAACTTAATCTTTGTTGTTCTCTGCCATCAAGCAAATCGGTCAAAAACTGACTTGAACTCAGGACTTAGAAAAAGGAGTACGGGTATCTATAAATGCTATGTTAGAGTTCATTGCATTTTATTAGAATTTGAATTTCATTGTATCATGTTTGCATGCTTCCCATTTCATTCTCACACCAGTTGGGATATTTTCTAATGACCGCTTCTATATTGTAGGGCTTTGCTGTTACCTGGAAAACACTTGATACGAGGAATGGGGGATTGCAAGAATTTTATGATTTTCCTGATTTTTTTTTTTTTGTACTGGGGATTGAACTCAGGATATTGCACTTGTGAGGCAGGTGGCGGAACCACTGAGCTAAATCCCTGGCCCTCACTGATTTGTTTTGATCTGAAGGGAGAACATTCCAGCAAAAACAATTTTAAGTATATGTTTTAATCACTGACTTAACTATTTCATTAAGGAGTGTAGAGATTGATATGTGGGGCTTGTTTTTTTTTTTTTTAGTACCGTTTCATCGAAATAGTTATGTCCATTCATTTCCAGGCTGCCTTTGGCTGTTCTCAGGCAGCAGCAGCTGAGTTCAGTGATGAGGCCCCAGAGGCTCTTTTGTCTTTTTGGTGAGAAGTGAAGTACAACATCTCCTGAAGGTTTACTTTTCAACTGGGTAATCATTGCATTTGTTAATAGAACCCAGAATGTTTAAATAGGTCTTCAGGAATTTTATCCTCTTCCCTGGTGTGAATCACCATTAGCAGTGAGATCAAATACCAGCGGCCTATGTGCATTTTACTTGCACTACAATTTTTCTTATAGGGTATAATTTCTTTCATTTATGTGTCCATCAAAATTTTGGAGTTCAAGGCCAGACTGAGAAATACAGTGAGACCCTGACCCTCCACCCCCCCCAAAAAAAGTTTGGAAATGAAGGATTGGGATAGCTAGATGTCAGGAAAAATGTTTTCTACCCAGCTTGCTTATTCATTTGATTGCCCCAGTGGGTTTTGAGTTTGTCTTCAATAACTAGGTTTTTGTTTTTGCTGTGTACTCTAGGCTAGCCTTGTACTTGCTATATATACATCCCAGGCCTGACCTCGAAACTTGTGATTCTCCTACCTCAGCTTCCTGAGTGAAAGATTATAGGTGTACACCACCATGTCCAGCATGAATGATTTGCTTTTTAATACCTTTTTAAAAAAAATACCTATTTTAAGTTAACTATTGAGGAAGAAAATGTACTTTGGATTACAAAAACAGTGGGAGATAGGGGAATCTAATGAGTATTACATATCATAGGGATTATTTATGTAAATTTTCTAGAAGCAGACTTCAGTTTTAATACGAGGTCATGCATATGATTTATAAAATCAAACCCAAACATAAGTTAAGTGGGGTCCCAAACACCACTGAAGAAAATCAGGTCCGCTCAGTATGAATAAGGTTAATGCAATGATCAGAGCGAGCCTGTGCAGCTGGCCTGGTAGGAATGCTGGTGTCCAGTGGTGTGCTCTTAAATCCATCTTCATCTGGCCTCTGGTTGCTTTCACATGAGGACAATTTTGAGTCCTACAAAGTAGGCTTAAATTTCAGTTGATTAATGCATATATCTCCCCCCCCCCAGTGCTAGGTACTGAAGCCAGGGCTTCGTGCATGTTAGGTAAGCACTCTGAGCTTCGTCCCTAGTTCTTTTTTTTTTTGTTTTGTTTTTTTTTGAGACAGGGTCTCACTATGTACTTGACACTGACCTGGAACTCACTATGTAGTCCAGGCTGGTCTTGAACTCAGCGATCCTCCTGCCTTAGCTTCCCGAGTGGTGGCATTACAGGTGTACGCCACCACGCCCGGCTGCTTTGTCCCTAGTTCTAAGGCTTTTATTTATTTTTTTGGTATGGGGATTGAACTCATAAGGCATATATTTTTGTAAGAAAAATTTCTGGAAGAATCAGTAGTTCAGCAGGTACAATGAGCATTCACAGTGTCAGGTGTTGTCATCGGCAACAACTTGCAGTTAAAAATGCAGAAGAACCAGCAATGTCATATTAACTGCCCGGAAACCTGACCAGAAGTAATGAGATTATATATAGTCTTTATTTTTTACTTTCATATTTCCCTCAGCAAAGAAAATGTTCAGTTACAGAGTGCTGCCCCATACTCCTTGAGAAGGTTTTGTTAAGTGATGGATATGCTATGTTGCCTCTAGAGAAATCGTAAATGTTTTTCCCTGACAGTTTTTTTTTTTGATATTGAGGATTGAACTCGGGTCCCTGTGCTTGCAAGGCAGGCGGAGGAACCGCTGAGCTAAATCCCTGGCCCTCCCTGAGAGTTTGAGTAAGGGATTGTGGGTAAGTACTGACAGATTCTTTTTTTTTTTTGAGACAGGGTCTCACTATGTAGTTGAGACTGACCTGGAACTCACTATGTAGCCCAGGCTGGTCTCGAACTCACAGTGACCCTCCTGCCTCAGCCTCCCAGGTGCTGGGATTACAGGAGTGTGCCACCATGCCTGGCATGGATAACATTTTGTGAGGAAAAATTGGTTCCAGTGATTGTTATATAAGCTGTATGTCAAAATCACTTGACTTTCTGATTATAGAAACTAAGGGTCACTCAACAGGAAATACTAGTTTGTGTAGGTGATATTGGTAGCATTCTGTTTGGGTTTTCCCTCTTTTCTTGGTTTGCAGTTCTTTTACCACGTTTTGCAATATGACTAAAAAGATCCGTTTTGTGTTTTTTTTCTTTGAGTGGTTACCTGCTTGTTCCAACATTATTTGTTGAAATAAGGTAGTGTTTCTAATTTGTAATGCCATATTTGTCTTTATCACATCCTATTTTTTATATTAATTTGGGTTTATTGGATGTTTGTATTACATTGTAATTTTTGGTAAAAGTGTTGGTGAAAAACTTGGCCTTCTCCCTCAGATATCTTGGCAACTTTTGTGCATTCTTCCAGATAAGTCTCCTGGAGCTGGGTGTGGTGGCGCATGCCTGTAATCCCAGCACTTGGGAGGCTGAGGCAGGAGGATCGTTGTGAGTTCGAGACCAGCCTGGGCTACTTAGTGAGTTCCAGGTCAGGCTCAACTACATAGTGAGACCCTGTCTCAAAAAACCAAAAAAACAAACAAACAAACAAACAAAAAACAAACAGATAAGTCTCCTGTAGGTAGGATTTAGATTGGATTTGTACTAAAATTACATATTAATTTAGAGAACATTTGTATTTGTATAATACTGTTTTCTGTGTAAGGACATATATATCTTTATAGTCATGTTTTATGTTTTTCTTCAATAAAATTGTATACTCTTATAGTAAGTCTTAGCAAGAACCCATTCTGTGGAGAGTCATTTTAGTTTATTTCATTGATATATTTATTTTTTTGGAACTGGAGATTGAGTTCAAGGTCTTCACTCTGAGCAATATCCCCAACTCCTTTTTATCATGAGATGGGGTCTTGTCCAGACTACCCTCAAACGTCTAATATTTCTCCATTAGCCTCTCAGAATACTGGGATTACAGGTTTGCACCTGGGCATAGTGGTACATGCTTGTAATCCCAGAATTTGGGAGGCTGAGGCAGAAGGATCACTGTGAGTTTGAGGCCAGCCATGGCTGCATATTGAATTCAAGGCCAGCCTGAATTGCACAGTGAGACCCTGTCTCAACAAACAAAAGTACAAGTGTACATCACCACAGCTGGCTTGTAGAAAGATAAATTGTGTATACTTCTCTTACCAGGTTAAACTACACATTTAAAAATATTATAGTTTAGCGCTGGAGGTATAGCTTGGTGTAGTACCAGGCTTACGTACTTGACATGCTTGAGGTCTTGGGTCTGATCTTCCCTCTTTCTCTCACACAAACATAGTGCACTTGCTTATACTTTGGAAATAATTCAATTGTAACGTAGTTCAATTTAAGTTAAATGTGAAGCCTTTGTGAATGTATTTAAAATATATCCAAAGGGCGGGGGGGGGGGGACCCAAAATATCCGGAGTGATATTCACTGCAAGAGAGATTTTTTTGTTTTGTTTATCCTTTATAGTATTGTGTTGCTGCTAAGCAAATAACTAGGAAGTCTGGCTTTGATCACTTAAATTCTTTGTGAAATGTGTGCTTATTCATGTGTTCCTTATTTCCTAGGGTGTTTATATTTTCTATTGAAGATAAAGGCTACAAGTGTTTTGTTTTTTTCCATTTTATTTTAAATGTAGTAGATTTTGAAAGACTCACTTTTTTCATGTTTCATTTTTATCTAAAGTTGAACTTAAATATAATTTAGACTTAAGGCTGCTGTTTTAAACTTTGTATTCTAAAAGTGTACTGCCCTACATGTACTATAACTGAACTTTTTTTTTTTCTTTCTTTTTAGTTTTTCCAAGGGTCTACTGAATGTAGGATGTGGCCACAAAACCTACCTCCTGTATTTCTCTCTTTTCCTCATGAGTTGCATGATTGCAGATGTGAACATGATGTCTGCAGACTACGTTGAAAAACTCTGAAGAACCGAATTAACACAGGATGACCCGGCAGTGATTTGAAGTCTATAACAAGATCTTGTTCAGTGGTGGATTTGCTGGTCTTGGCTCTGAATGCTGCAGATAATAGCAGCAAGCCAGCTGTCTCCTTTGTTTCTGGAGAATCTCTTGACTTTCCATCAAGACTGCTTTTTCTGATCTGCTTTGGGAGATATTAATGGAACATAGTCATGTCCACTCAAGACGAGAGGCAGATCAATACTGAATATGCTGTGTCCCTGTTGGAACAGTTGAAACTGTTTTATGAACAGCAGTTGTTTACTGACATAGTATTAATTGTTGAGGGTACTGAATTTCCTTCTCATAAGATGGTTCTTGCAACATGTAGCTCTTATTTCAGGTAAGTACTTTAATCTTGATTAGTTTGTAATTGTGAATATAGGACATTAATTTTTTTCCCCCGGTACCAGCAGTCGAACTCAGGACCTTGTGCTTTTGAGGCAAGCATAGGAACCACTGAGCCAAATCCCTGGCCCATAACAGCTTTAAATGTTTAACACTTACTAACAGTTTTGGTGAGCTGGGCATGGTGGCACATACGTGTAATCCCAGCACTTGGGGAGGCTGAGGCAGGAGGATCGCTGTGATTTTGAGACCAGCCTGGGCTACATAGTGAGTTCCAGGTCAGTCTCAAGTACATAGTGAGACCCTGTCTCAAGAAACAAAACAAAACAAAAAAACCAAAAAACAAACCAAAACCCAAATAACAGTTTTGGTGTTCCCTGTGCCTGAAAACTTAAAAAGTTGGGCCTCCTACCAAGCACAAGGTCCTGAATTCTGTCCCCAGTAACACACAAAAAAAAGACAAACATAAACCTTGAAAAGTTGATTTAGTTATAATAATGAAAAAGCTTAACTTTACATTTTTGTGATCTTTTGCATCTTTAAGTTTCATGAGAAAAATAGAAGCTTAAAGCATAGAAATAGATTTTTCTCTGCCCTAAAATTGACCCGAGTTCAATCCCCAGTACCAAAAAAAAAAAAAAAAAAAAAAAAAAGAGCCATCGTTGTAGCAGGTGGTGTTACAAATTCAAGATGACACATTCAGTCAATACCTAGGCTTATAAGCTTTCTCCTTTTTAACAGCCATTAATTATAAATTGATTACCCACTACTGGAAAGAGCTTTATGCCTTAGTTATGGATTTTCAGATTGATATTTGTAATCATAGAGGAGAATCTTCAGACGTCTGGTCTAACTTAAATCTGTGGAGAAATTGTTAAATATTTTCTGTGTTGTCATCTTTACCAGAAGGTAATACATGGGTTTACTTAGATGTCTTCCCTTTTTCTCTTTCAAGTTTGTGATTGTACAGATGAACAGGCTGTTTTTTAAGTTCTCTAGCCCATCAGGTTGTCTTTTGAGGTGAAATTGGTTTTCTTGAAGACTAGGCAGTTTGCCTCTTTTATTAATATTACAGTCTTCATGACAACAAAATTCTTCTAGGGCTTCCATTATTTCCTTATCACAAGGTGTTTCCCTTCTTTAGCTTCTTTGACCATCTGAGAGAATCAGATATTTATGTTCATTAAGTAAGTAGAAAGAAGAGTCCTCTTAACGTTTGGAGTTGAAGATTTCCATCGTGAAGATAATGTGTGTGAGCCAGCTTATATCCACAAGAAGAAAATGTCCAACTATTAATTTTTTTTCTTCCATGTATCTTTTCTGTGGACTTGGTTATTATGCATTCCTACAGTGATGTGATCTTTCCCTATCTGTTCAACTGAATTCTGCTTTTTTAGGTTTTAAGCTTTACATATAATGCAATTACAAATTTAGGCATTCTGCGTTTTGAACTAGACATATTCCTCTGTAGTTTGGTGTTCCCAGTGTCACCCTACAAAGAATCTGTATATACTTCTGTATATTGGTTTTTATTTCTTGGTAACATTTACTATTTTAGACCCAAAGTGGGAGAATTACTCAGCACTTATACTAGGTACTGCGTCTCATTATATGATGTAATTCATTATTTGCTTTTTTAAAAAAATACTTAGTTTAAAACTTTCATGATCAGATTATCCAAGTTTCCACTACCTTTGATCTGCATGCAGGAAAGTTACTTTCTATGATCCCATTATTCTAGCGCCATAGAGCCCGGTCTAAAGCAGTAGTGGGGAGCCCGTGGCACGTGTGCGGGCTTTTTGTGTCATGAGAAGCTCCCCAGACTGGTCTAGCGTAACCATCCTCCACAGGTAACTTTACCTTTGACCTCCATTTTTCTTCTGGAATAAATGTAGGAACCACTTGATTGATAAATCTTGCATGTTTTACTCAGCTCTTATTTTTGTGGTTCCTTGTAATTTCTCTTATTTTCTGTATCAGAGAGATGAAGCCAGTAGCAGTAGGTGCTTTGGGTATGTTTCAGGAATGTCTCCTGAGTTGGGCAGGTTTATTTATGGTTGTCCTCTGTCCTTGGTGAGATGCCATCAGCCCACCTGGTAGGTATTTTTTCTCTGATCACTCCCTCCCTACATGCCTGGAATCTGTTACCCTTGTTGCTTATTTTTTCCATCTTATCTCCTTTGATGCTACAGTTTTTGATGCCCACATATTCCTCACATAACTTAGCTGTCTTTAACTCATGTTCCACTGCATTAATGCTTAACCTCTGACAGTCTACTGGAATCACCTAACTGATTATAATATTTCCATTTGATATAGTTGCCCCTAGATCAGGGATACCCAAAATGTAACACTTTTCCTAAGATTAACTTTTCTTTTCCTTTTGGTACCGAGGATCGAACTCAGGACACTGTGCTTGCCAGGCAGGTGGCAGAACCACTGAGCTAAATCCCCGGCCCAAGATTAACTTTCCTTGGCTTTACAGTTTGCTCAGTGGTTAACAGTAGTTTTTGAAGTCCTTAATTGAAACTAAGGAAGTAGCTTGGACTCTTCCTCGTCTGCCATTTGCTCTGTGCCATTCCTTCTGTTCAGCCCTCTGTGATTGTCCATATCTGACACCTTCCCTTAGGTGTCTTACTGCCCATCTAGGTGATTGCTACAGCCTCATGACCAGTTTTCTTGTCTCCAGCCTTTGGCTCCTGGGGTCTGTGGGTGTTTTTATCTTGTGCTTTTTACCGTCCGGGACCTGCTCTCATGCTTTTCGTTCTTCCTCACATTGGATGCTGAGGGTTGCACCCAAGGAGGGCACCACACCTGCCAGGCTTCTGCACGCTCAGCCTAGTCTCTTGTCAGAGGCCACCTGTGACACGACTGCTGCTCAGCTTCCCTTCTCACTTTCCACATTCCCCTTAAATAGTTAGGTTTTATTGTATTTTTTTCCATTTTGAGTGCCTTCTTGGTTTCTTTGTCCTTAAGGGGCCCGAGCCAGTGACTATTATTAGGTTGCTCTTTCTTCTTTGTTTTTTTTTTGAAACAGGTCTCACTATGTAGTTGAGACTGACTGGAACTCACTATGTAGCCCAGGCTGGTCTCGAACTCACAGTGATCCTCCTGCTTCAGCCTCCCGAGTGCTGGGATTAGAGGCGTGCGCCACCATGCCCAGCTAGGTTGCTCTTTCTTAGTAGTACCTGCGTGAGCTTTTCTCTCCCATGTGTATATACAGTTAGTTAAGTATTTTTTAAATCTTATATTGAGTTTATTTGTACATTTTAGGTATATAATACAGTTCTTATATTGGGATCTTGGACCTTTATATGACATCTTGGTTCTTATTTTACCCATTCCACATCTTCCCTTCAGCCCCTCTATCCTACCTGTTTAAAGACGTTGTGGGGCCGGGAATTTAGCTCAGTGGTTCACTCATCTGCCTCGTAAGTGGAAGGTCCTGAGTTCAATCCTCAGTACCCTCCCCCCAAAAAAAGACGTTTCCATGTTCTTCCTTTTCACATATTGTTTTCTTTTTCGTTTTTACCTTTCCCCTATCCTTCCCACTTCCTCTACTCTTTTAGACCTTTTCTTCCCATTATACATTGTCAATTATACACTTTAATCCTTATTTACACTTTTAGTTTTTCACACCAGAGAAACTATTCAGTATTTACACGTGTGATTTACAAATTGCACTTAAGAGGATGTGCGTCCACTTAGCTATAAATATCTCTAGTTTCTTGTTCTTTATGGCTGAGTAGTATTCCATTTTATTAAAAAAAATCACATTTTCTTTATCCAGTCTCCAGTTGATGGGCAATTGGGCTGTTTTAAAATTTTAGCTATTACAAACTGTGCCGCTATAAATGTGGGTGAGCATATACTGCTGTAGTATGATTCTTTTGATTCCTTTTTTTTTCCCCCAGACCAGAACCACTACATGCCTTTATTGTAGGGACAACTGCTGGGCTATCTCTCACCAAAGAAGAGAGAACAATATGGTAGAATGGAGAGCTTCTTTTACAGGAGTGGGGTGGGGCTTTTAGGAGCTGGAGTTAAGTGAGGCAGTATTAAGGGATTGGAGGATCTGTAACATCACTAGGCTTGTGACAGTACTGATTACTTGGAGGTAGCTAGTATCGGGTTATTTTTTAGCGGGAGAAGAGGCATCATGGGAAGAAGAAGGCTGTCCTTTGGTAGGTGGGAGAAGCCATCTTTTTAGGTAAGAAGCAGAGCATTATGGGAAGTGGGCTAACGGCCATCTTAAGGCGAGGGATGATTCTTGTAATTCTTTGGGGAAGATGCCCAGTAGGGGAATAGCTGGGTGAAATGGGACTTCCAATCCTAGTTGTTTGAGGCATCTCCATATTGATTTCCACAGTGGTTGCACCAGTCTGCGCTTCACCAAATATTTTCTTTTGTGTTGACTATATACTGGTTTTCATTTTTAGCAGTTTCCTATATATCAAAGTTTTTAGGAAAGTGTATTGCATAGTTGTAGGAAATAATTTGGAGTAAATGAAATTTTTAGTCAGCTTTATTGCAGTATAATTAATATACCATAAAACCCACCAATTTTAAGTGTGTAGTCAGCTGTCCTTATCAGTGGTTCTGCATCCATATATTTAACCACATACGAATGAAAACTACATGGGAAGAAACAGTTTTCATCTACACTAGACAGGCAGATACTTTCCTTGTCATTCCCTAGAGATTCGCAAGCTCCCGTAGCACTTCCTGTTTTGGGTATTATGGGTAATCCAAATTGTGGACGATGAATGAAGTTGAGAGGATGTGTTCAAACACTGCCATTTGTATGAGGGACTCCACGTGGCCTCAGATTTTGGGGTCTAAAGGACATCCTGGAACCAGCACTTGGCCAGCAGTGAGGGGCAGTTGTACAATTAAATGCATTTGAGTGTGTTTACAGAGTTGGGTGGCCATTTCCACAATCTAATTTACAACCATTACACCCCCATGCCTGTTTATCTTCATTCTCACCCATAGCTTAAGGTAACTACTAATCTACTTTTCTTGCCTCGTTCTCTATTTTCCTTTTGAGGGGGCATTGAATATAAACGGAGTCATACAGTATATGGTCTCTTGTACCCAGCTTCTTCCCTGGGCAGAATGTTTTTGTTCTTGTTTTGTTGCTCTACTTGTGATCGAGCCCGAGGCCTTCACACTAAGCTGCATCTCAGTCCCTTTTTTTTATTGCCTAGGCTGTGTATGAACTTGTGACCCTTTTTCCTCAGCCTCTGAAAATGCTGGGATTCGACGCACGCACCAGCTCCCAGCTCTGAGCATGTTTTTGAGGCTCATTTGAGGTACTGTGTTGATCAGTACTCAGTCCCTTAGTATTGGCGAGTGATCCCATTGTGTGCCTGGAGAGTGCATGAGTTGGAGGCACAGTGGAGTAGTTCAGTGGACTCTGGCACTGGACTGTCAGTGCTTCCCACATCCGCCCGGAGCCTTCTTCTCAGCTCCACCTTTGTTTCCCACTGGATCCTTAAGCTGTGCTTTCCCTCCCTGCTGTAGGGCCATGTTCATGAGTGGACTAAGCGAGAGCAAGCAGACACACGTGCACCTGAGGAGCGTGGATGCCGCCACCTTGCAGACAATAATCACATATGCGTACACGGGGAACTTGGCAGTGAGCGACAGCACCGTGGAGCAGCTGTACGAAACAGCTTGCTTCCTGCAGGTAGGCGGTTCTCTCGCCTCAGGAGACGTCGTTCCCGCCAGGACGGCTTTCCTTACACAGAGTTTAGAAGGTAGACGTTGTCTTCTCATTAAAAACGTGAAAGGGAAAAAGAATAGGATTTGTTTAGCCAGTAAATAGTTTCATAAGAGAGACAATTGAAAGATAGGTACTAATTTCATACTCTGCCTGATATACCTAAGAACTTAGGTTTCAAGTTGAAGTAATTTTAAATTAAATTTAACTGCTTTAATTTCTTATGGTTAAAACTTGAATGGGTCAATGTATGTACTGTTACTTTTTATGAGAAAATTAAGATTTTTATAGAGATTACCAAGTTTAAATATTCATAATGGTCATGGGATTATATTGAGGTAGTAAGAAGTAAGCAAAAATTGACATTTAGTTTATATATTTAAGCTGTTTTATTTCCCTCTTGTTCCTTTTTTAAATGTTTAAGTTAGAAAGTACAACTTACACATGAACCTCTTTAACTATCCCTTATGGGTGTTTGATTTTTTTTTGGAAGGCTATTAATTGGTTTACCTAACTAGACCAGTTACATAGGCATTGGATAAGAAAAAGAAGTGAAAAACTGCACACTCTTCTGACTTCATCTTTCCTGGAAGACAGCTTAACAGAGTGAGGCTCTTGTTAATAGAAAAATAGTGTTGGATTAGTGGTTAAACATGCGCTTAGTATCCCTGAGGCCTTGGGCTCAATCCCCAGCACCAAATAATAATAATAATAATAGTAAGTCAGATTGGTCTATCCTGCCCTTACCACCTTTCATTAAAAAAAATTTTTTTTAAATTTTAGGTAGAAGATGTGTTACAACGTTGTCGAGAATATTTGATTAAAAAAATAAATGCAGAAAATTGTGTGCGACTGTTGAGTTTTGCTGATCTCTTCAGTTGTGAAGAATTAAAACAAAGTGCTAAAAGAATGGTGGAGCACAAGTTCACTGCTGTCTATCGCCAGGAAGCGTTCATGCAATTGTCACATGACCTACTGGTAGACATTCTCAGTAGTGACAATTTAAATGTAGAAAAGGAAGAAACAGTTCGAGAAGCTGCTATGCTGTGGCTGGAGTACAACACAGAATCACGCTCTCAGTATTTGTCTTCAGTTCTTAGCCAAATCCGAATTGATGCACTTTCAGAAGTAACACAGAGGGCTTGGTTTCAAGGTCTGCCGCCCAATGATAAGTCTGTGGTAGTTCAAGGTCTTTATAAGTCCATGCCCAAGTTTTTCAAGCCAAGACTTGGAATGACTAAAGAGGAGATGATGATTTTCATTGAAGCATCTTCAGAAAACCCTTGTAGTCTCTACTCGTCTGTCTGTTACAGTCCCCAAGCAGAAAAAGTTTACAAGCTTTGCAGCCCACCGGCTGATCTGCATAAGGTTGGAACAGTTGTAACCCCTGACAATGACATCTACATAGCAGGGGGCCAGGTTCCTCTGAAAAACACAAAAACAAACCACAGCAAAACAAGTAAACTTCAGACTGCCTTCAGAACTGTGAATTGCTTTTACTGGTTTGATGCACAGCAGAATACCTGGTTTCCAAAGACGCCAATGCTTTTCGTCCGCGTAAAGCCATCTCTGGTTTGCTGTGAAGGCTATATCTATGCGATTGGAGGGGACAGTGTAGGCGGGGAACTTAATCGGAGGACTGTGGAGAGGTACGACACTGAGAAGGATGAGTGGACCATGGTCAGCCCTTTGCCTTGTGCTTGGCAGTGGAGTGCAGCAGTTGTGGTCCACGACTGTATCTACGTGATGACACTGAACCTCATGTACTGTTACTTTCCGAGGTCTGACTCCTGGGTGGAAATGGCCATGAGGCAGACTAGCAGATCCTTTGCTTCAGCTGCAGCTTTTGGTGATAAGATTTTTTACATTGGAGGGCTACATATTGCTGCCAGTTCTGGCATAAGACTGCCCTCTGGCACTGTAGATGGGTCCTCGGTAACTGTGGAAATTTATGATGTGAATAAAAACGAGTGGAAAGTGGCAGCCAGCATCCCTGCTAAGAGGTACTCTGACCCTTGTGTTAGAGCTGTTGTGATCTCCAATTCTCTTTGTGTATTTATGCGAGAAACCCACTTAAATGAGCGAGCTAAGTATGTCACCTACCAGTATGATCTGGAACTTGACCGGTGGTCTCTGTGGCAGCACATATCTGAACGCGTTCTGTGGGACTTAGGGAGAGAGTTTCGATGCACTGTGGGGAAGCTCTATCCATCCTGCCTTGAAGAATCTCCGTGGAAACCACCAACTTACCTGTTTTCACCAGATGGGACAGAGGAATTTGAACTGGACGGAGAAATGGTTGCCCTCCCACCTTTATAGTTGGGAGTTCAGGGAGCTCACGCCTGATGTATGTGCTTTGTCATTTCCTTTGCTAAACAAGAGGGTATGAAAGGACTTAATATGAGTACATAAAATTCTATCTTTGATAAATTTTATTTTTATGCCCTACTTAATATTTGTATCAGTATAATATATATCATTGAGTCTTACAGGAAGATATGCTTCCATAATATGAAATAGGTTATTTAGTAATTGAGACACTTCTATGTGTGTCATGAGAACATGAGAGTCTGGATTATCTAACATTGCTAGCCCTGTGTATGTACAGTTCAAAAAGTTCACTTAGAAAAGTAGTGTCCTGTTCCTAGTGTGGTACATCCCAAATCGTGCTGAGGTTATTTTAGTGTATGTATTTCACTCCTGTGCTTCTGTTCTGAAGTTCTGGAATATAGTTGTTCCAGTGTAATTAATTCAGCTGCACTTAACACTAATGTCCATGTTGGTGTAGAAGAGTCCAGATCCTATGTTACAATTGAGGAAGATCTTCCATAATTTTATGGTACCACACAGGGAAAGCTACGACTGCGGGATCAGTCTAACTCTACTATTAGGTACGTGTATTCTCCACTTGATCTTGGCCAAAAGGCCGAGAAGCGATTGGTACGTGTATTCTCTTTCCACTAACTTATACTTGTCTTTCTAGAATACAGGTTGTCCAGCCAACTGGTCATTTACCAGGGGTGGACCTCGTGGTGCGGGTCCGTGGAGCTTTCATCAGTATGTCTCCACTTCTGTGTTACGTTAGCGTGGGCTCACGCATATACCTGCCTGCTGCTGATGTAGTTCTCCATCTTAGAGACGTAGAGTGGGTTAACCAGGTCATCATCTAATTTAATAACAAGCATTACTGTAGAGTGATTGTGTACAGGTATCCGTTAGCTGTCAGAGTGTGTTTTTTTAACCTGATGTGTGTGTGTTGCGGGGTAGGATTAGGAAGATGAACAGTTCAGGAATTCCCTGCACTAGGTGTGCAGAAGAGCAGATAATAGCGCTGCTCTGGCATTAATCCCAGGAACCACTAGCAGTAGTGGGGCGTCGCCAGTCTAACATGAGCACAGGTGCTTCATGACAAACATTACTAGCATGTTCAACTCCATAATGTTCTGGTACTGTATTTTGATGACATTAATTTATTAAATAAATTGTATATATTCAGTACTTGTTTTTCTTCTGTTATGGGAATGGCATATCTGCTTTTAGTTTGGATTTTACTGTATCGGTGTTGCGGTTATAGGTGGTTTCTTAAAAATTTTGCTTGAGATACACACAGTAGTCTCTTTACTGGTGGTTTCATTTTCTGCAGTTGCAGCAGTTACCTGAAGTCAACTTCAGTCTGAAAATACAAAACGTGAACTTCCAGGAACCACTGGTTCATATTTTAAATTGTAGGTTGTCCTAAGTAGTACGAGGAAATTTCAAGTCTTTCTGTCCTGGCCTGCTTTTGTCCAGTGTGTCCATGGTGTATACGCTGCCTGCCCATTAGTGGCTGTCTTGGGTGTCAGACCTCCCTGTCATGGTGGAGACTGGAGAGTAAAGGTGCCACTTTTTGTAAAACTCACTACAGTATATTGTTGTAATTACTTTTTAAAGTTGTCGTTAGTATATAACTGTGTGGTTTTTGTTTTTTTTTTCAGGTTAGGAAAGTTTTATTAGAAATGGGAATAGCTCCTGGATTTCCAGGAGGGTTCTTGAATCTGTGGTCCATACTGTAATTCCTAAATTAAATTTTATCATAGGTGTGTGTATGTACAAAAACATGGCAGCACTTAGCTCCCACACACCAGGGAGACTGGGATAGGCTGGCTTTCCTTTGCTTCATGCTTTTCAAAGCTGGTGGCCTATTAGAAAACTATGGCGTTGTACTCTTAAAAGACTGGGTTAAGGTGCTGGGGATTTAGCTCAGTGGTGCCGTGCCTGCCTGGCAAGTGCAAGGTCCTGAGTTTGATCCCTGATATAGGGTGGAGGGGGTTGGGTTAAGCCAGACATAGGACTTAGAATCCCAGTACAGTGGTACCTTGGTCATGAATTTAATTTGTTCCCCAATTCTGGTAAAGATGGCCACAATCATGTTTGTGTGGGAAAGATGGCTGTGGTCATGCTTGTCACCAGGTGCAGAGTTCACAAGCAAAAATAGAATTTTGCCAAATGCTTCTATGTTTGCAAACAGAAGCGTCTGTGAAGTGAGGCACGGTGTCATGCCACTGTACTTGGGAAGCTGAGAGAGGGTCACTGAAGCCCAGGAGTTTGAGACCAGCCTGAGCCCTTAGCAAGACCCTGTCTCAAAATGAAACAGAAAGCTTGGGGATGACATCTGAATCTCATCCCAGGCACAGTGAACCCCAGGGCGTGGGTGCTATCATGGTCGTATCACTAGTCACTCCCTGGTCTACCGAAGGAAGGCCAGACTCCTCAGCACACTTGCTTCTGTGTGCTAGGGACTGAACACAGGGTCTTGTGCATGCTTGGTGAGCACTACCACTGGACCACACTTCCTTAGCATACTTAGAGCCTTGTAAAATTGGGCTGAAGTTATCTTAAGGTGGCCTTGTCATTCGTAGCACAGTGGGTAAAATGGGGGTTTGCACTCCCCAGGCGATGGTCCACGGAGGTGATGGCTTTCCCCAGGGAGCTCACAGCTGAGAGGTTTTGAGTTAGGAGAGCCACTCCAGAGATTTTTTTAGAAAAAGTCATCGGAGCTGGGCGTGGTGGCACACGCCTGTAATCCCAGCACTGGAAACTGAGGCAGGAGGATCGAGACCAGCCTGAGCTACATAGTGAGTTCCAGGTCAGACTCAACTACATAGTGAGACCCTGTCTCACCCCCGCCCCCCAAAAAAAGAAAAAAGAGTCATCAGCCCTGCGCTGAGCTCCAGGAAGGAGACCCAGGCCCAGCGGCAGCCGGTGTCAGCCCCAAGCCTGCTCCAGGTCAGATGCGCAGAGAAAGTCCGGTGCGACATAGTCTGCCGTAAAGGAAGAAGCCCTGGGGTCATCTGTAGGAAAATGGATGCACCATGTGGCCACTTTATGGGAAGGAAATCAGATGCGCAGCTTGGGGCTGGGGGTGTAGCTCAGTGGTGCCGCCGCCGCCTGCCTCGCAAGCGCAAGGTCCTGAGTTTGATCCCGGTACCAAAAAACAAGAACGAGTTAGATACACATTGTTCCTTTTTTTTTTTTGGTACTGAGGACTGAACTCAGGACCTTGTGCTTGCGAGGCAGGTGGTGGAACCACTGGGCTACATCCCCGGCCCTCACGGTTTCTTATTATGAGAAGCCCAAGATTCTAAAGAGAGCAGAATAAAAGGTAATGAGAATGGGAAGAAAATCAAACGGGAAGAGGACCAGGAGGAGGGTGGGGAAGGGGAGGGGACGCGGAGATTCCAGTTCCCCACAGGGACCTGAGCAGCCGGCGCTCTGAGGCCAGCCGGGGTCCTGCGGCCGGCTCCCCGTGCCCTCCTCAGCTCCGGGGCTCTCGGGCGCTTCGAACATCTAAATTGTCAATAAAAAGCATAAAATTGCTTTAGAAAGTAGTACTAAGCAGACTGGAAGGAACAAGTATTAAGAAGTATGAGAACCGAAATAAGATAGATAATTGGTTTACTAGAGGAAGAAATGTTTGCCACTGTAGGCATATCCCTAAGGATTATTATAATTATCTTTCACTGCAGTGTCAAAATATCTAAAAGTAACAAAGGAGGGACAATTTCTTTCAGCTCATGTTTTCAGAACTTTCAGTCTAAGTAAGCTTCATTATTTCGTGTAAGAGGTGATTTGTAATTTTAACATTTAATGACAACAGAGAACACAAATTATAACGCTACACAAAAAAACGCCAAACACCAAAAACACAAAAAACCCAACTTTTTGATCAAAACATGTGCCAAGCTAAACTTCATTAGAAAGTTTGTAGAAAGCCTTGAAACTCCTCATCTATTTAAACTATATTTTTGTAACCACTAGGTGCCTTCATCAACTCATTAATCAAATGCTTCCTAAATTTAGGAACTGATAACCAAGTGGCTTAAAAATGTAAGTCTTGATCTTACTTTTCCAGCTATAAAATACTAACATTTCATGAAAACAAGAAAATGTGTAAGCACAGAAGCTTTCCAAAACTTCTATGACCTTTTCTGGCTCAGTACCTGACTGAAATGTTCACCTTTGTATTGCACAGAAAAAATGTGAGCAGCATACTATGTGTGAGAAGCTGATGAGAAAGGACGGGGAAACCCCCTAAACTGACATGACTTAAATATATAGTTTCTGTATCGTTAATGAGTGTAAGTAAAAAGGTAAACTGTCGAACAGCACAAATACAAATGTATTTAGAAGCTTACAAAATAGGCCCGACCCAGACCCAGGCTTCTGATGTGGAGCCAGCGCACAAGGGAGCCGCTTCTGCTTCGCAGTGAGCGCAGCAGGTCGCGCGCCAAGTTCAGGCCAGGAGTGAGGAGAGCAGAGGTGCACGGCCCCGGGCCCTGGGCTGACGCGCTGTGCAGGGACGGCCATCGCCGGCGATCGATCGCACAGGTGAGGTGACCCGGGGACACAGCACGCGCACGCCCCTGGGCTCCCCGCCCGCCCGCGGTTAGGGACAGGGACGGAGCCCGCACAGCTCGGCTGGAAAAGGCCAAGGCGTGACCCTCACAAAACTTTTCTCACAGACTGCCAAACATCGGCAAAACCTGCCCACCAGGGCTAACGCCGCAGCTTCACTTAGAAACCTGAAGCCAGAGCACTACAACTCTAACCTCCGCCTAGAATTGTTCTCTCGGCAGACCAGACATCCCGTTCAGATTCCAGTCCCTTGTTCCTCAGCCACGCAACGGCGTCTTGCTCACTTCCTCCTCTTCCTCGCTTGCCTTCTCCGGCTTTCCAAAGGAAGGTGTTCCAGAAACACAAACGCTTGGTCACAGCCGGGAAAGCAGAAGCCTGAGGAAGTGACTTCCTACGCTCACCGTTGCCACTGAACAGCTGCTGCAGCTCAAAGCAAACATGGATGAGACCTGCGGGAGGGTCGGGGGCCAGTGGTACCCGTGGATGCCGGCCGGTCGGTGCGCGGCCGCTGGACGCCCTGGTGACAGCACCCGGCCCGCCGTGGCCGAACCTCTCTTCCTCTCTATGCCGTTGTCGTTAGCAGCTGGGAGGACTGCGCACGCCAAGCGCTACTTCTGAGTTGGGTGGACAGCAGGGAA